TCTTTCCCTTGATCTCTCTGAACTACCAATTTCCCATTGCTCACCCTGCTCCAGGCACACTGGCTTCCATGCTCCTGCCACAAAGCCTTTGCATTTGCTACTCCCCCTACGGATTTACTCTTCTTCCAAATGTCCACATGGTTTACACACTCAACTCCTCCCAGCCTCTGCTCAAGTATCACTTTTTCCGTGAAGGCTTTCTTGATGAGCCTATTTTAAATTGCAATACCCTGTGCTCACTAGCCCACATTGCTGCTTTGCTTTTCTCCATAGCACATACCACCATCTATATGTTTTACTTGTTTCTGCCTTCCCTCCCTCCTTTCTGACCCTCCTTCCCACCAGAACACAAGCTCCATTGTTTATTTTGTTCAATCCTGTTTTATCAGTGCGTAGAACAGTGCCTGGCACGTAGTATTTTTTGAGTAAATGAGTAAGCTGGAAAACTGAAGAGATTTGGGGATTATTAATAGTGTACTTGTTCTTCTATCTGACAAGTAAGAATATCAGCTCAGGTTTCTTTGAATTGCCCAAGCCTAGGCTTAATGTCCAAGACCATAATCAAAGCTATTTTGCTTAATAACTGTACCCTGCAGGGTTTTGGGAAAGCTTAGTTCAGTCATTCATTCATCAAACTAGAAACTGGGAAAACAGTGTAGAATTACACTGGTAAGGTTCCAGCACTCAAAGAGCTTTTCTAGTGGCAGGCCAGGGGAAACAAAATGTAAACAAACATATAAGGAAGGTAATTTCAGATAGTGATAGGTGCTGTGAGAGAATACAGTAGGGTTGATAGAATGCAGAGGGGAGGTAGGGTGCTGCTTGAGCTTGAGTGTTCCAGGAAAGACTTTCTGAAGAGGAAACATTTGAAAGGAGCCACACATAGGAAGATCTAGGGGAGGGGGGTTCCTGTCAGGGGCAACAGCAAGCGTAAAAGATCCTGAGGCAGAAATTAGTTTAATGTGATTGAACAGTTAAAAGTTGGGTATAGGGCTTCCCTGATGATGCAGTGGTTGAGAATCCACCTGCCAATGCAGGGGACATGGGTTCGAGCCCTGGTCCAGGAAGATCCCATATGCTGCGGAGCAACTAAGCGCACGCGCCACAACTGCTGAGCCTGCACTCTAGAGCCCGTGAGCCACAACTACTGAGCCCGCATGCCACAAGTACTGAAGCCCACGCGCCTAGAGCTCATGCTCCACAACGAGAAAAGCCACTGCAATGAGAAGCCGCGTACTGCAACAAAAAGTAGCCCCTGCTCACGGCAACTAGAGAAAGCCTGCGCACAGCAACGAAGACCCAACGCAGCCAAAAATAAATAATTTAATTAATTAATTAATTTTTAAAAAATGATGTCGGACAATGATAAGACAAAAATATGGGCACTCAGCCTAAGAAATGAGGTCAGACTTGAAAGGAGGCAAGCAGGCAACTGAGCGCTCGAATTTAAAAACTAACTAAATAAATAAAAGTTGGGTATGGGATGGGAGCACAGTGAGGGAGGAAGAGAGTTAGTATAACAGATAGACACTGG